CTTCTTTTCTTTGTTGTGATTACTTAAAATTGGCAAATAATTTTTCCATTAACTTTCAAGTGTATAGTGTTAAATAGCTTTATACTTTGTAAAGTTTTAATATTTCAGATCTGAGGGTTTTTTCCATTTCTTATTCTTGTACTAGTAATCTGATCCTTCACTTATAAATCAATCTTGAATGTTTTAAATTTTGTTGGTATTGTTTATTCACATTTTGGCTTTATCAATTTTCTATAATTTTAAAATTAAAATTTTTTAATTTTATTGTTTTATAATACTAGGGTTTTATTCTCATAGACTGTATAAATCATTTTGCTTCAAAGTAAATTTTTTATTCAGTGAATTGGCATCTGTACATAAATTCAAATAAGCTTTTATTGTTAACAGCATAAACACAATATTTATCTGAATTATGAGAGTTATATTAACACAATATTATTAACTTATCTAGAGGCATTTTTCTAATTTTTTGCTTCTCTTATATGTTTTGTTCTGCTTCAGATATCTACCAAAATTTTACATTACATTCTCAGGCCTCTTCTTCCTCTCTGTTTTGCTGTAGTTTTTCATGTTTTGTTTCCTTTGTGACTTTAATAATTTTAAAGAGTCTTGGCCAGTTACATGATCCTCAAGTTGAGGGGTTTTTTTTCCCCCTGATGTTGTTATTTATTTAAACTTTTTATTTGTAGTGGGTTTCAAACTCATGGCTACAAACTTGCCTGGCTTGCTTGTCAATGCTGTCACTCGAACTAACACTCCAACCTGGGATTTTTGTGGTTAATTTTGGTGATTCATCACCAGCATGGACCGTTTGTTCAAGTTGACCACAATCCAGCTACCATCCCCAGAACTCAGCTTCTTGAGATTTCAGGCTTTAAGACTTGAGCCACTTGTACTCAACAGTATTTTTAATATGGTAGAGCGAAGTATTTCCTTTTTACCAGGAACTCTGTCCCTTTCCAGCATTACAGCAGGATGACACTGAGTTACTGTCTGTGATGCTAACTTTAATTAGGGAATGAGGTATAGTTTATTTCATGTTTTTCTTCCAAATATTCTTGCTTTCCCACTTTTACTATTCCTTTTGACCATCTCATGGGCAAAAATAGGAAATAATGTGTTCTGAACACAGATGTATTTCTATCCTATCTCACAATAGTGAGACACAAATCTGCATTGGTAAATCTGCACTCCAGGTTTATACTCTCAGAGTTCATTCTAGCCTTCCCCATTTCTTTATTGTAATTTCCTTAGGACTTGATTTTTGTTGGAATTTTTTTTGTCTTTTCTTTTTTGGTACTGGGGATCGAACCCAGGACGTTGCACTTGCTAGGCAAGCGCTTTGCCACTGAGCTACATCCCAGCCCTTTTGTTGGAATTTTTTACATCTTTATTCATTAAGATTTGTCAATATCTGCCTTGGAATGTGGCTTAGTGGTAGAACGGTTGCCTAGTATGCATGAAGCACTGGGTTCAATTCCTCAGTACCACATACGGATAAAAAGCTGGAAGTGGTGCTGTGGCTCAAGTGGTAGAGTGCTAGCCTTGAGAAAAAGCAGCTTAGGAACAGTGCCCAGGCCCAGAGTTCAAGCCCCAGGACTGGCAAAAAAAAATATTTGTCAATCTCTTCTAGGGATATTGATTCATATTAAAAATCTATGGAATATTTTTTTTAAATTAAAAATACTACAATTCAAGAGCAATTCACCCATATTCACACCTGATAGTTGTAAAGTTTTATATATATAGTTTCTGGTAACTATATATATATATATATATATATATATATATAGTTACCAGAAACTTTAGAATGGCTTTTTGTGATTCACATAAAGTCTGAATCTAATTTTTCATCTTTTCCAAATTCCCGTTCATTAGGTATAGTAAAGTCATTTTTTTGCCGTTATTACTGGTGATGTTAACTTTATCATGTGTTCTTACATTTATTTATTTCTTTTTTTGTTCCCTCTAGTCTATTTTTCTTGTATGTTCCACCACAATACACCAGAAGCAAAGGTTTAATATTTTATTGAAGTGAAAACATGTGCAGTAATGTCATATAAGATCTGGCTTACCTCATAAATATTGGCTTGTTTTTCCTTTTCAGGCCCTTACATGTTTGTTTTAATATATCAACTTACTGCCAACACATTTATCCTCACAGTAATAAGCTGATATTTGTATGAGGATTGTGTTAAATTTGTAAATCAACTTTATGAGAATTGACTTCTTGTTAACATTGACTTTTCTAATACAACAAAGGGGGTGGGTAGCTTCTTCATATTTATTTGATCCTATCCCAATGCATGTAAAAGATTTATCCAGAGACTTATTCTATTTCTTAAGCATAATATTTAACATTAAAATTTCATGAGGTACATACTGTTTTCTTAACTATAGTTTAGGAGATTATTGATTCATGGCTGCTCATTTTACAACCTGTTACACATTGATTTTGTTTTTTACTTTCAGTTTAAAAATTAGTTCTCTGGCTGGGTGCCGGTGGCTCACGCCTGTAATCCTAGCTACTCAGCAGCCTGAGATCTGAGGATCGCAGTTCAAAGCCAGCCTGGGCAGGAAAGTCTGTGAGACACTTATCTCCAATAAACCAGCAGAAAAAAAAATGGAAGTGGCACTGTGGCTCAAGTAGTAGATCACTAGCTGAAGAGATGAGAGACAGTGCCCAGGCCCAGAGTTCAAGCCCCATGATACTCTAACAGCATATACAAATAATTTTAAAGCAAATTCAGATGCAATTAATTTTGACCTCTAATTGCATTAGTCACTTGTCTTGCATATTTACTGCTTGCTCTCACACAACATATATTTGTCACTTAGTTTTAAACTTTACTCATGATATTTTATTCTTTAATCTTTATCAATAAATATATAATTTTCCAGTGTTAGCTATTTCTTTTCCAGTTCTTGGAAATGTAACCAAGGCCTGAAGCGTATACTATTCCACTTCAGCAATATCCCAAGTCCTTTAACTTTTTGTTTCATTTTGAGATAGGGTTTCTCTAACTTTTTGGAGACTGACTTGCTCTCATAATCTCCTCTCTCCACCTACCAAGTAGCTGTGATAATTAAAGGCATGTACCACCATATTTGGCCTACCATTATTCTATTTTGTTTATGTTTCCTTAGTCATTTCTTATTTCAGGAGAAAATTTGAAGACTTAGTATTGTTTTGAAGTAGTTTAATGTTGAAAAGTAGGCCTGTCTTTGATCCCTCTTTTTGATTAACACAGATTAGCTATAAACAAAACCTGTATGTCAGGCTTTATTTCACTAGTGTTTTCTTTTAATAGTCTATTTCATTGGTCACTTCTGTGCATTAGTTTTGAGACATTTGTTCATAGTCCTGTTCATTAGCTCTTGTCATTTATCTCATTTTTATTTCTGGAGGCCTTTGTGAATTTTTTAATTTTTCAATTGAATAATTTTGCTAGAATATATCTCAGAATTGTTCAGGTTGAATAACATTTTCCCAAATACCTGATAATTCTTTATGTAATGAAATTTCAACTTTCTGTCAACTACATGAAGATTTGTTATCATAGTTACTCATGAATTTATTTTGTACTACAGGGTTGGATATTTGTTGAATTCTACCATATTGACTTTCTTTCGTAAAATTTCATTTATTTATTTATTTATATTGTAAAGGTGATATACAGAGAGTTTACAGTTACATGAGTCAGATAATGAGTACATTTCTTTTTGAACAGTATATTGACTTTCTTGATGGATTCCAATTATTGGAATGTTAATCCCTTTGCCTGTCTTGGCTTTGCACAATTTGTTCCCTTACATCTTATTGGATTTATCTTCTCACTATTTGTTTCCCCTGCTTATTCCTAATTGTAATGAACTAATTAGTGATAATCCTGTAACTGGCTTCTTTCTAATTTTTTCTTTAAATTTTTATCAATTATACATTCTATTCTCCTTCTATGTTTAGGGACAAAGTGTTTTTCTCCTGCTCAGTTTTCATCCCATTGGGAATTGATCTACTTCTATTCTGGTGCTGTGTGTAAAGCAGAGTATTTAAACTCACATCACAGAAAGAGGCTGACCAAAACAATCCCAAGTCATTTCTACCTGCTTCCTCTGTGTGAAAAATATAATTAGTTGTGGCAGGACGTGAATTTCCCATTCACTGTAAGACAACTGCAAAGAAAGGATTTAGATTTCCATGTGGCTGATGTATTAAACATATTCTGTTGCCAGCAGTCAAGACATCATTTAATGAACTTGGAGTGACCATTTCTTTAGCTATCTTTTTTTTCTGATTTTCAACTAAAATTTAGTTTTGCTTTCTGAGCATTATCAAATTGTACCTCTCTGTGCATTTGGTCTGAGAAAAACATAGCGCTGTGAAATAGTATTTTCTTAGCTTCCAAGAAGTCTTAATTTTAAATAATTTTAATTTCAAGTATTATTCATAGTAAAATCAAAGTGACAATGAATCATTATAAAGGAGAAGTTATATAGATTTCTGTTTTTTTCCTTCACGTTATATATTCAAAGCCTATAGTTACCACTTGTAGTATCAACATTAATCTGAAATATTTTATTTTTCATTTGCGCCTTCAGATTAAAGTATCAGATCAAATATCAGCCCAAAGTTATATAAAACAACTAATAAACATTCACAGTTTAGAGATATATATTGTACTCTTTTAAATTTCATATCTTTATATTATTGATTAGCTCAACAGTCTTTATATCCTGTTAAGGTTATTGATTTTTATTCCATGTAGCTTAGGTACTAATGCCAGATTCAATATTTTTCTAACATGCATGCATAGATTCATCTTGTATCAAATAAGAAATGTTGAGAGCAAAGACTAGGGTAGATCATCATATCTAAAACGTGCTACATTTTAAAAATGACAAATAGATCCTATAAATATAAGAATTCTTAAGAATCTTGTATTTTCCACTGTTCAGCCTATACAGTGCATAATAAAATCAGGAGCTCAGTACTTATTGATATGTTACTCAAAAATATCAAATTATTTAAGATTGGGATGTAGCTTATACCAGTTTTAATTGCTTGTAACTTATAATAAATGTACTTTCAAATGGAAATAAACAGCTTATTGTTTTGTTGTTAATTGGCATTCATAAAAATTATTCTGTAAATCTAGCTGTAATTAGCTTAATTATACAATTATTGCCTTTTGTTTAGTCAGAAATAAATTACAAATATTTAAGTAACTCATCTCAGAAATAATTACTTAATGTCAATCACAAAATCTTTTATCAATCATGTGCTGTACTTTTATTTAAGATGTTTAATCGAGGTTAGCAGGCTGAATTGCTTTTTTTGCTTATTATGTCAGTCTGAAAATTTATACTTTTCTATACTGAAACTATATCTAACAAGATCATTTTTTCCTCTCAAAAAAATAAATATAAGCTGGGTGCTGGTGGTTCACTTCTGTAATGCCAGCTACTGAGGAGACTGAGATCTAAGGTACATCATTCAAAGCCAACTAGGCCTTAAGATTCTTATCTCCAATGAACAACCAGAAAATAGGAAGTGGAGCTGTGGCTTAAAGTGGTAGAGTACTAGCTTTGAACAAAAGAGTTCAGGGACAGCATCTACACCCTGAGTTCAAGCCCCATGACCACCACCACCACCAACAACAAAAATAAATACAACATACAATATTTATTTTTTGTCTGAGAAAAACAACAACAAAAGAAGAAAATAAACCCCACTCTGTAAATTAGAAATGTTTCACTTTTTTATTTCAAAAAAATAAATTTCAATATTGTTTTGGAGCTTCCTCTATGCACTGTTCTGCAAGATATCTAAGATATTGCTAAGATAATGCTCCAAAATTTGATAGTTTGGAATCTCTGCAAGATTCCTTTTTTTAAAAGTGAATTTGGAGAGAATAGGGCTGCACAGATGCCTAGACTGGCTAGCTTAGAGGATGAAGGTCTGCACTCAAGTCAATCAAGAGAAAGCAGACGAAAGTTTAAAAAGGGAAAGTGAGCAAACATGATTGAAACTATGCAGCAAGAGCAAGAAACTTCAATTCCACAGGTAATTTTATGCTTTTCCCTTTATCTTTATCTTTGCCAGTACTGAGTTTTGAACTCAAAACCTTGTATTTGCTTAACTTTCTTGCTTGGCTGCCACTCCACAAGCTACCACCCTAGCTTTATGCTCATTGATTTGGAGGAGAACCTTGAACTTTTTTGTCCAGGATGAGTCTTCTAGGTCTCAGTCTTGTGAATAGCTAGGATTATAGGCAGGGGCCACAAACCATAGGCAGGTGACAATCTTTAAAGTTAAATCAGGTGAGATAAATAAATCAGATTAATTATGTCATAGTTATAAATCATATCTGTATATTAACAGCAATAATATCTTAAGATGCAATAAATAAGACCCACAGGGATACAATATACTCTACATGAATTAAGTAATGTCTTAGATGTGAACCAATTCTTAAATAATATCATAGTAAGAAAGACAGGAAGGAGGTATATACAAATATTTATTAGACTCCTCACAGGAGGAGCCTAAACATGAAAATATTTTATTTTCATAATAAATATTGTCCTTTTTTTATATTTTGGGTCCGGTCGTGGGGCCTGAACTCTGGGCCTGGGCGCTGTCCCTCAGCTCTTCAGCTCAAGGCTAGCGCGCTAACACTTGAGCCACAGCGCCACTTCCGGCTTTTTTCTTTTTGCTTATGTGGTGCTGAGGAATCAAACCCAGGGCCTCATGCATGCAAGGCAAGTGCTCTACCACTGAGCCACCTTCCCAGACCAATATTGTGCCTTTTTATTCTGTTCACTATACTGTAATTTTAGTGAGTGTTTTTGACTGGATTGTGCTGATTCACAATACACATTTTTTATGTATTTTTCAAACTTTGATATTCTGTGATGTTTACATGTTGTCTTTAAATCTGCATTTCAGGAATACCTACAGCTTGAACATTTGAAAAAGTTACAGATCAGGGCTTATTTTTTTTCCAACTTTCTGAGAAAAAAGAAGTTAAACATTTACTAGCTTAGAGCTGATAAACATGAAGTAGAATGAGATAATCTTATTCATTATTATTATTATCTAAAGTCCTATAACAAATTCATAATAGATTATTTAGAATATTTTTAAAATTAGATTTCTTACTGTAGGTAGACAGTTTGGACATTTTACTATTTTTAGGTTGTACCATTAATTTTTTTAAATAAAAAGCTAAACATATGATTGATTTATGAGTAGCTATTTGATTGATAGGCAAAACTAAATCATCATTATTTATATGTACTATGCTTTTACATTTATTATGAGTTGTTTTGTAGTCGAGATAGTGAAAGCTAAGAAAGTTAGCATTTACTTAAATTAATTTTATAAACAGCTGCAATAATATTGTCTGTTCTTTTTGTTGACATTTTGCAGTGAGGCCCACAGTCATAGAAACTGATGTTTATGTCAACAGCATTGGACCAGTGGATCCCATAAATATGGTGAGCAAGGAATATTAAAACTATACAGCTTCTTGGTATATATCTTCATATTAAAATAACTGATTTCTAATAATGGACTCTGAGTAAATTCAGGTTAACACATGCAATTTCTATGTGCCAGGTACTGGTAACAGGAACTAAAATGATCAGCTATCTTAGAATTAATACCTTCTTACTTCAGATTGTTAGGTTTGGCAGGACAATTGCAAGGTACAAATAATGAACTTCTGATCCATCAAGAGCGAATCCTTGAGAACATCTGGACAAAGTAAATCAGAAGGCCCAAGATGGGAAAGGATCTGATGAAAGTCAAGTCTAATTAGAGAGCTCAACTTCCTAAAAAGACCAGATGGATTTCTACCAGTTCAATGGCAGTGAGATATAAAGGGCAAGGTAATGAACTGAGGTGAAAGTGATATTTAAGGGCCTTATTTAGGATCATCTTCTAAGCAATCAGATTGGAAGTTCATATGTTACTCTGTAACATATACATTGTTTTCCACTGGATAACACACATGAGCAAAGTTTTTCATCAGACAATGTCCTGGATAAACTTACATTTTTTAGTACATTGCTCAAAAAATTATAGAAGACAGATCTAAGGGATGGATCATAGCTAGAAAAATTAGGTAAGTGGTTGCATTTGTCTGGAAAGTAGACACCCAATGTAATAAAGTAAAAGTAGCATATTTTAAAAAATATTAGGTGAAAATTTTAGACCTTGGTGACACATTGATTGTTCATAGGCTGATTAGATTATAAGGAGTTGAAGAGACTTTGCACATGAAGGAGTCATTATTTGGGATAGGGAAAACAGGCATGCACAACTTAAAAATGATAAGCTTGCAATCAGGAAGATATTCCATAGTTGTTTAATTCCTATGACTACTATTCAGGGTAGATGTCAGGGTAAGATATACACATAAATCAGGGAGGGAAAGGAACAAGTGGTATTTGACATATCTTAAAATTTCACAAGTATATGATATCATCTCAGAGACTATTTTATGAGGAATATAGGTCTGAAAAACAGATGGTATTATTATATATGTATATGTGTGTGAGTGTGTAATCCAGGGGTCATAGTATGAAAGGGATTGTCTAGGAAGGGATCAGTGAGAGGGGAAAAGGAGGGAATAATGGGTGGTAAAGATGATAACACACACATATATAATTTTCATTATACACATGAACATACATGACATATATTTTATATGTGTGTCTCAGCCTAGTGTCACCAAATGCTAGTTGAAGAAGGGAGGAGGAGAAATAGGAGGAAAAGCAATATGGAGGAAAGGCTGACTTTGTTCACACTACATTGTGTACCTGTATGGAAACATTGCAATGAAACTTCCTCATTACAAATATTGGCTCAAAAATTAAAAATAATAAGCACAGGAGGAAGAAAGAGCAATATATAAATGTACATACTGTCAAAAATGAAAGCAATGGAAGAGGAACCTGGAAGATTTTCTTTTTTAAAAAATGAGAATGAAGAGAGAGGAAATCATAATGAACTGCAGATATATATATGACATTCAATACAAAATTGACTAAATCAGACACACTTATATTAGGATGAAATTCAGTAGAACAGGAATAAGTGATGAATTAAACATCATCTGAGATCCTCGAAAGTTGTCTCTTATCCAAACTTTTTGTTACAGAGACCTAAAGGTATTTATGGGTATTGCAGGGAGATTCACACAATCAAACACTGGCTTCAGGGTACTGGTAGTGAGAATTGCAGATTTAATATTTCACAATACTAATTTTAATCATTTAACCTAAGAGAAGACAAGATAAAGAGTATAGGCTTAAATGAAGTATAGTTAGAAAGAGCTCTACTGTTCTACAGCCTAACAAGATAGGGTATATTTCAACAAGATAGGAGACATTTCGTAAAGAACTGCCAGAAAAATTCAGTTTCCCAATGAACAATGGAAAATATCTAAAGTAGAAATTTGAATCACGTTTAGCTAATCTACAAATTGCGTACTATTTTATTGTCATACTGTAGTCAATAAATACTTATATTTTTATGCCATATCTCTCCTATCCTACAAGTGCCTAACATGGAAGGAAGAAGAGGAAAGGAATGAATGTCACACATTAGGAACATATCTAAGTCTCTGAAAGCAGAAATAGTAAATGAAAATACAAGTTTGGGGAGAAAATAAAGATACCACAAAGCCAATCCAAACCAAGGGAAGAAAGTTCCAGTACATTTTGATCTCAGCTCTACCTGGAGCAAATTCTATGCAAGCTAAAGAAAAAAAGCATTTAAATACCTGGTTGTAATAATATTAGATTCTTAACATTGATCAGACTTCAGAAATTAATGTATTACTAAATGTTAATTCTTTTCTTTAAAAAATTACAGTACTCAGTTTGTGAGTAAGCAATGCCTGAAGAAGATAAACCAGTATGGATACATACATGGAGGTCTTCATTTCCTCAATTACATTTTTTATTTGGGGATTTTGTTTTTTAGTTTTCCTGAATTTGTTAATGATGTAACATAGTCATTAAAATTAAAGAAAAATAGGAGTTGAAGCTGTGTTTGTGTTTGGGAACCATGTCAACAGGAATGGCTTCCAAGAGGCATTTATGACAATTTTTTTCCATAAAAGATTCATGGTGGTAAATATTGCATTTTTTTCCAAACAGGCAAATTACATACTTGTACCCTTGGACAGTGATAGTTTTAAAAAATGTAATTAAGTGAAATTGTTGCTGAAACTAATGATACTAAAATACATTAAATTAAAAAAAAACTCAATGGAACAGTTAACAATCTTTATTAAGGAGAAACACTTTCATACTAGGGATTAATAATAATGTTATGTAGAGATGAGTTTAGCTAAATAGTGCATGGAATTTAAAATTCACTTTTTATAAAATGAGCAAAATTGCTTTGAATATAAGTGTAATCAAGTAAGGAATCTTGAATATAATTAAGTAAAAGAGTAGTATTATTTTTCTTTATCTCATTAACTACTCATAGAATTTAAGTGACTAGAAGGAAGAAAACTAATATATTGATTTAACTATATCATTCTTAGATATCAAATTTTTAGTTGATCCAAAATTGTTGATTTTTATAAAGCTTGCCTACATAAAATAGATTTCTTTTTTCTTTTTTTTGGGTCCGGTCATGGGGCCTGAACTCTGGGCCTGGGCGCTGTCCCTCAGCTCTTCAGCTCAAGGCTAGTGCTCTACCACTTGAGCCACAGTGCCACTTCCAGCTTTTTTCTTTTTGCTTATGTGGTGCTGAGGAATCGAACCCAGGGTCTCAGGCATGCAAGGCAAGGGCTCTGCCACTGAGCCACCTTCCCAGCCCCTATAAAATAGATTTCTATAGATTACTTTTACACCTAAAATAATATTACCTAATTGGATATATTTTTCTTTCTTATTTTAAAGTTAAAACAATTGTTTTAATCTTAGTGTCCCTATGAAAAGATAGGCTCTTTGATAGTTATAAAATGAAGGAGCCAGATGTTGGTGTTTCTCGTTACTCACTTAGGGGCTGTTATGTTAGGATGCTGTTTGAAGCCAGCCCTGGTAGGAACGTTTTGGAGATTCGTTTTTTTTTGTTTGTTTTTTTTTTTAAGTTCTTTTTATTGTGAGAATACATACAGAGGGGTTACAATTACATGAGCAAGGTAATGAGTACATTTTTTATCAAGCCTCCTCCTTTGTTTCCCCTTACCATCTCTGCCTTCCCTCTCCAAAGTTGTAAAGTTCGTTTTTGACATAACAACTTGTACATCTCATGGTTGCAATGAGTCCACCTGTATCCCTATTTAAACAATTTGTTTTTTCCCCTCCCCTCCCCAATTATACAAACATCAAATACAATGAAAGCACGGGTTGTACCATGAGGGACATACAAAGCAACATATCTCTAATAAACTACTCAGAAAAAGCTGGAAGATGTGATGTGGCTCAAGTGGTAGAGTGCTTGCCTTGAGCACCAATGGGCTCATGAACAGCAGCCAGGCCTCAAGTTCAAACCCCAGGACTAGGAAAAAAAAAGAATGACTGTGCCAGACTCTACCAGTACCAGCCAACATAGATCATTTTATTAATTCTTACCTTGGAAAGTCATAGTTAAAACAAATAACAGATGAAAGAAAGAAGACTAAAAGAGTAACAGTAAAGTTTTTCAATCATGTTTATGTACTGATTAAAACAATCTTAAATCTAAATAGATAAGCATGTGTAATCAGCACTAAGGGCAAGGAAATGTTATTAACAGGAATTAAACTGGAATGAGAGTATTATCATTAACCTCTTCATTCTTCTGGTACCCTTGAGTATCTGTCTCATCGTTGGCAGTTTACTTTTGGATTAGCAAGTAAACACTGTGAGGTTTCAGCAATTCTCTATATCAAATGAGGATCAGTGAAAGGTGTGGGAGGTTCAAGATGATATTATAGGTGTCTAACCACACAAGATGAGTAAGACAAACTGCAAAAATTGGACATTTTAGCTGTGATTTATAGCTGGGTTTACTTGTAGCAACTGCTTACTCTCGTACAGTCTAATATTAAGGGATTGTTAATATAGGATCTTTGAAAATAAAGAACAAAAAGAAAACAGCTTACACATAGAAGACACTATTTTTCTTTCATTTTGAGGAGCGGTGTACTTCATGCAATTGGCTCTGATATCTTGGGGCTTGATTTCTCTCTATCTCTTTGTCCCTCATCTTTCTCATACCCATTCTGTATTTTTGTCCCTGCTACTAAATTTATGGAGATAAAGCTTTAGGCATAGTTTTCATATATCAAAGAAGAAAACTATTTCTTTTATTGGAAACAATCACTCTTTCTCAATTACATTAACTTAAAAAAATTATGAACAGCAAAAGCAGCACGCTAACCATGATTTTCCTGTCTAGAACACAGAGTTAAACTTGTGACAAAGTGGAACTCTGACATGATTTCTTCATACCCTGTAACCACTATTCTTGGCCAGAACACTTATTCTCA